ATCAGGATACCAGCAAGGTCAAATTCTGAGGAGGACACTCTTCTGGGTCGCAGACTGCTGACTTCTTGTTGTATCCTCACAAGGCAGAGGGAGCAGAGACGAGAAGCAAGCACTCTTGAGACTCTTTCTTATAAAGGCACTAATCCCATGCAGAAGGGCCCCACCCTTAATGACCTCACCTAGTCCCAATCGCCTCCAGAAGACACATCGCCTAATAACATCATTTCAAGGGTATTTGTTGCAGCATATGAATCTAGGGGTGGGGCACAAACCTTCAGTCGATAACAGGAGTGGCAGCTCCAGGGGTAGCAAGGTTGAGAGAACTTGTGTGGTTGATATTAAACTAGAGCATCATAGCAAATGCTGCCCATATTCTCATAAATCCCTTTACTATTTCTCTTGTGCCAACTGCCCGTATCTGCATCATTGTTAAAGGTGAGGGTTTCTCAATTTTGGTCCTAATGACATTTTGGGACAGAGAATTCTTTGTGGGGCTTTGGGGCATGGTGTGTGGGCAGTAGGGTGGCTGTCCTGAGTACTGTAGGATATTTAGTAGCACCCCAGGCTTCTACCCACTAGATGCTACTAGTATCCCTTCCCACCCAGCTGTGACCATTAAAATATCTCCAGATATTGTCAAGTGTCCTGTGGCAGGCAGAATCGCCTCCAGTGTAGAATCATTGGTTTAAGGGTGTGGGAACCCCCTCTGGTGAACACACAGAGGACTGGGGGTGCCTGGGAATAAACAACCCCCCACCGCCTGCAGATATGAGGCATAAGCACCTCAACTCCCTCGCTCCTTTGCTGGAACATGCGTGCGGCACATGTTTTGTGAGGTTTTCCAGTTGCCCTGCAGGACTTGGCTCCAGTGCCTTGTAGTGCCTCTTACTACTGAGCTTGGTGACTTTCTCTTCCCTCTGTCACTCCCTCCCACTCACCCCGCCCCCTCACCTTCCCTTGTCCTTAGTGCCTCAGGGTCTGCATCTAAGGGGATCCACACTAAGTATGACTGACAGCAGAGGAGAGGTATGGGAAAGAGAAAAAGATAAGTGAATCAGGAGAGGAGTAGAGTAAGGAAATACAGAGCACTGAGAATACAGGGGAGGAATGAGAGGTGTGCAGGGGCAGGGAGTCTGTGCTGGGAGGGGCTGGACCAGGGAGCAGGGGGCTGTGGCTTCCACTTCCTCATACAGAGGAGGTCAGGTCAGCTGTAAAGGGGAGGGGAAAGAACTACAGCACTTCACACTCTGTTGCTGGAGAAGTGGCTGTTCTGCAGGATGTGAGAGGGCAAGGCTGACTGAAGAATTCCATGTTCAGATACTTTGGGGGAAATTTGCATATTGTGCCTCATAATGCTGATTGGGGAATTCAACATTCTGATAATGTTGTTCAATGTGAGACCAGTTTAACTTTTTTTTAGCCTAGCATTTCTCACATTTTTGGGGGGAAATTCTTTTCTTGCCTACCTTCCTCCAAAACAAACAAACAAACAAAAAACCCAAAACACAAAAGTAAACAAAAATGCATTCACATCTCAAAGGACACCTGTAATTTGGGAACTCCACAAGAGAATATTCATGAGCCAGGCTAAAGGGGAGGGGTCAGCTAAGGACAGATGACTTTGTCAGTGTGCAGAATTAACACAGTTTCCTGTTTTCGTTTTGTCTATCCAGCAAGAATAACTGCCCTAGAGCAGAAGATCCTATAGAAACACAGCCAGCAGCCAAAAGGGCAGAAGGTGAGCAGGACAAGGGAGCTGGGTGTTAGCGGCACTGTGTTGACATTGCACGTTGGGGGAGTGGCCAGGGCCCTCTGACAGAGGGTCTTTTTTCACTCACTGTCTTCTCTAGAAGATGGTGCCAAGTCCTCTTGGGACATGGGGACGGGGTGTGAAGCATCACCAAGCATGGGTTGAATCTTAAAGAATAAACAGGAGTTTCCCAGGGGAGTAAGAGAAAGAATATTTCAGGCAAATGGAATCAAGGTGTGAAGGTGTGGAGGGGCATAAGAAGGGGGCAGCTTCCAAAACTGGAGAAATTGAGTGGCTGGAGCCAAAACCTGATGGGAGCAGAGAGGAATGTGGACAGGGGGTCACGGAGTACAAGCTCTAGGGGGCGTTTTCAGTCCTGATAAGGAAAAAGGATCCCTGAATAAGGTTCTACTTATTGCTTTTTGATGTTTCAAAAGAGTTTATTATTATTTTCCAGATAATATTTCATTTTAGGTTTACATTTCCTCTGGAACTCAAGTTAGAATAAATTAAAAAGTATTTCCAGGTAGTAGTGACCTTTTAACTTCTGGTGGTTATTAAATTCTAGGGGTTTTTTTTTTTTTTTTGTATTGCAATCAGAAGACTGTTCTACTCTGTCTGCTTTTTTAAATCTAATAAGTTTTTCTTTGTTACCTAAATTATGGTCAATTTTGGTGGATTTTCCAGGCACTTATATTATCAATGTATACAAGAAAAATAGAGAAAACATGTAAAGCAGTTCTATCTTATTATTACATTATCTGGTTCTTTTCTATCCTCTGTGTGTGTCTGGGCCCACATCTGCTTACTGTCTCGTCGACCGAGAGTCTTGATGATGTTCTTCTTCTCCAGTGACTTTCTGACTCTCTCTCTCTCTCTGTTGCTCCTGCAGCTTTTGGGGACAAAGTTCTTAATCTTGAGAATACCGTGACTGCATTTGCAATTTAGAAGAGAAAACCCAGGCAGAAATGTAAGGAGGGTTTGGAGGTGGAGACTGGAGGTGGCCCCGGCAGAGGTTGCGGAGAAAGAAAAGGCGTCGACAATTTAGCACAGGGAGTCACCTGACCCGTGGGCATGAGGAGGAAAGAGTGTCGGGGGCCCCTGATCCTGTCTGGCTCCAACTGCTGGTTGGTAAGGGTGATGCTATTTACCCCAGGTGTGCAGACGGGGTGTTGTGAGTACAGTGTCCGGGTGCGTTATTGTGACCACACCGTTGCTTATCTGACTTAGCTCTCTCCCTAGCAAGGTCAGGGCCATGTCTGTTTGCTGTTGACATCTCCTCTGAGCCAGGCACAAAGGTTCCTGCACACAGTAAGGGCCGCAAGATGTTTTGTTTTTTTTTAAATTCTCAGCCAAAGATATATTTAAAGATTCCAGAGACAGAGGGAGGGAGAGAGAAGCACTGATGTGAGAGAAACATCAGTTGGCCGCCTCCCATCTGCACCCCAACCAGGGACCAAACCCAAAACCTAAGCAAGTGCCCTGACTGGGAATTGAACCTCCAACCTTTCGGTTATGGGATGACACTCCAACCAACTGAGCCACACCAGCCAGGGCTGCAAGACGCTTTTTGAATAAACACATAAAACTTTGCCATTGAGATGGTTGTGGGGTCATCGGTGGAGGTGTCCAGTGGCAGTTGGGAAAGCAGGTCAGAGAGAGGTCAGGGCTATGTGTACTGGGTGAGATAAAGTGTTAGCTGAAAGGTGGGCTGTAACTGGGGAAATGACAAGAGAAAGGGGTCAGGATAGAATTGTGATGGGGCCATGGGGGAGGGCTGCCTTTTATGCGAGGGACTCAAGTCCACCTCTGGGCCAAGGCACGTATGAACTGGGAGTTGTATCTGGGGCTTGCTCTCGCCTGCCATCAGCGGGGTTTCGGTAGACTTTGTTCATTCAAAGACTCGCCCCAGCCTCGGTCTGTCCAGCCCACCCACATCACTCCATCAACTATTTCCCACGTTCTCCATCAACTCCTCTCCAGGCTACTTCCTCTTTCCCTCTCACCTCCTGTTTCCTCCTGGACCCTCCATCCTCCAGTTCAGAGGACAGTGGGTCTGGGCTGTCCCCGAGCCCCTCACTGATCACCCATGGGGTTTCGAGGCAGCTCTTACTTCTGTGTGTCATTGGTAGCGTAGTAATGAGAAGACCTGCTTACTGTCTTACGCTGTTTTACACAGGTGTCTATTCGATAGAAATGAATGTATTGTTTAATAGCAATAAAGGCTTTTTGCCATCTTAATCCAGAATTCTGTGGTCATTCATATGATACTGATTCTAAATGCTGTCAGCTCCTCAGAATTATTAGGGTGGGGGGACTCTTACAGGACAGAGGAGGCTTGACCTTGGAAGCCTTGAGTGTAGGGAGTAGGCACTGGTCCCTGGGTATTTGGGACCAGTGCCTACTCCCTACTCTCAAATATTATGTCTCTTTTACAGATGAGGAAACTGAGGCACAGAAAGTCTAAGTGACTTTCTCTGGGTCAGTACCCTGGGCTAGCACTGCACCTGGAACATGGTGACACTTGAAAATACTAATCGAGTAAATAAATGAAGGCCATGTTCTACTTAATATGCATTGAGTGGTAAAATATAAGTGGTGAAGGGAATTCTTACCGAGATTGTCTTTCTGTGGGTCGGGGTGAAGGGAGGACATTAAAAATAGGACCTGGGCAGAGGCTCAGCACCCAGAGGGCTCTGTGGCCTGAGGCCTGGAGTGGTCAGCTGGGAAGGGTGTCCCTCTCTGCTCAAGACGGGGAGCCCAGACTCCTGGGATGGGCTTGTGGGTTTCCAGGAAGGACCCTCAGGAGGACCTTTCCTCCGAGGAGCCTTCAAGAAACCACACCAATGGGATTAAGGAAACAAGGAAACTCTTGCACTGAAGTGTCTGGAGGAAGCTGGTTTGGAATGTAACTGGCGGAAAGTAACTTGCAAATTTGGGAGTGGGAGCATGTTTTGAAAGTCTTTTTAAATGAAGAGTGGGCTGCCTAATGGCTGTTGAGATCAGTTTTGGATAAGCTTGGGGGGCTGGAGAGAACAGATTTGGGGATTTCCCAGGCACTGGGAAAATGTTCCAGGGAGTGCAGCTTCCTCACTGTCATCCGGACTCTTCTGTGACCTTAAGTTTGCTAAGAACCTCCTGACACATGGGTAAAAATCACGCTGGCGTAGGGTGCATTCCAGGGGTGTGGGGGTGGTGAAGAGTCTGTGGCCAAGGCAAGACTGGACATTGTTGACCAGGGTCTGCCAAAGCCTGGACAAAATGCTGCAAGGTGATGTCACCCCCTTTGTCAGTTCTGAGCCAGAAACCCACCTTCTCGGGATGATTTTGCCCAGCATTTCCTGAATCTCCCATGTTTCTTCCGGGCTCTTCCTCATCTGGACTGCACCCCTGTCTGCCTCCCCGGAACCTGGACCCCTCAGTAGTAATCTCCACTGCCTACCGATTCTCTGCCCTTCTCCACCCGTTGGCTTCTCCCCAGCAGGGCCGGACCTGCTCCTTCCACACGGGGGGCGTCCTTCTCTCCTGCTCCCTGTAGCTGCCCCTCTGTCTCTTTCTTCTCTTCTCTGCACATCTATTATCCCTCCTTCTCTCGATCTAGATTTTGACTTGAATCTATTTTCCACCGTTTTCCTCAGAAACCTCCCTCCATGGTTATCAGTTTTGTCAAACCCAGGTTCAGTGGGCCACTTTCCAAAGCATGTCCCTGTCCTTCCTGTGGTATTTCACACCTGCAAGTCCTCCTCCTTGGTACTTCCTCCACCGTGATCCTCTAAGGAGGGTGAGTGTATAATTTATCTTCCAAACTAGGCCAGTTTTTAAAAAGAAAGGGGGCTCTAATTAATTACTATGCCAAGCTAAACGTCACAACCCAAGAAAACTCAGATGCATGGCCTCCCTCCCTCCCCGCCTTCTCTGGCTGCTTGTCCTCACACTCCCTCCTGGAGTCCTTCTCTCCACTTACCCTTTCAGTGTGTCCCCTCTGCTATCATGTGGCACCATCTCCCTGTGTGACCTTATCCGCTCACCACTTAGTCCCCACCTGTCTACAGTGTCTTGATTTCCGCACCCCAAATACAAACCCAGCTGCCAACCACAAGTCTCTACCTGGATGCCCCAGGGACGACTCTACATCTGCATCTGACGCCAGACTCATCATCTTAACCTCAAGCATGCTCTCTTCCTGTTGGTGAGCGGGGTAGGGGGGCGTGCGCGGGCAGCGGTGGGGAAGGGCACAGGTCCCGGGGTTGTGACTGCCTGGGTCCAAAGCCACATCCTAGCCATGCAAATCAGGGCAATTATTTAACCTCTCCAAGCCTCAGCTTCCCTTCCCGTAAGTTGGAGATAAAAGCACCTACCCTGTGAGTGGGTTGTGAGAATTAAATGAGACAATAATGACAATGGCAGATATTTGTGGGGGACCATATAAACGGGGCACATCTATGTGGCTCACATGTATTATTTTATTGTCATACCGGTAATACTTCATTTAACTCAGCCTCCTGGGCTAAGCGACATTATTATGTCTCTTTTACAGATGAAGAAACTGAGGCACAGAAAGGGTAAGTGACCTTCTCTGGGTCAGTGGTAGAAATGGGGTTCAAATTTAGTAAGTGTGTGCAAAGTGCTTAGAATAGTGTCCAGCACATAGTAAGTGCTCAACAAATTATCTCCACCCTCCATTCAGTCCGCCGAACCATCTACCTGGAGGTGGCCCATTTTCCTCATCCTTCTCACTATACCTCTATCGAGCCCTGCCGACTAACCCTTAAAATGCTAGGTGCCAGTGAATAAAGTTTCCTACTTCACTTGCACGCCAGTGCTAGGTGGTTTCCAAGAGTTTACCTATTTAACTATCTTTCTATATTCCTGATTCAGTGCCCAAGGTGTCTTGATATTGAGAAGTCAGCTACCAGATACCAGATGTAAATGAAAAGGCCCAGAACTCTGCCTCTAATTTGTGACTTCTTCCAAAGCACCACCCTGCTTGCTGTGTTGCCATGGAAACAAGGCTGGGCCTGTCTGCAGGTGGATGAGAGACTATACAGAGCAGAGGCGAACCATCCCAGCTGAGGCCCCCCGCCAAACCAGCAGCTGACCACAGACACATGAGTGAACCTGGCCAAGACCAGAAGAACCACCTAGCTGAGCCCAGAACAAATAAATGCTTGTTATTTTCAGCCACTGAATTTTGGAAGGGTTTGTTTTGCAGGAAAAGCTAACTGATATACTTAGGTGTTATATTAGTCAGCCCAGGCTGCCATAACAAGATGCCACAGTCTGGGTTAAACAGGAGAAATTTATTTTCTCACAGTTGTAGAGGCTAGAAGTTCAAGATCGATGTGCCAGCAGTTGGGTTGTGGTGAGAACTCTCTTCCTGGCTTTCACATGGCATCTTCGCACTGTGTCCTCACATGACCTTTCCTCTGTGTGAGCCCAGAAGAGAGGTCTCTGGTATCTCTTCCTCTTCTGGTAAGGACATCTGTCCTACAAATTAGGGCCCCATTCTCACTACCTCACTGAATGTTAATGGCCTCTTTAAAGGTCTTGTCTCCAAATGCAGTCACATTGGGGGTTAAGGCTTCAGCATATGAGTTTGGGGGTGACACAATGCACTTTGTAGCAGGTATTAATCAAATGGAAGTAGAAGCCACAAGAGCTACACTTGAAAGAAGCGAGAAGGTGGAGGAGACCCAGAAGCTACGGACAAACGCAGGGGAAACTAGCATTCCTGGGCAAGCAGAGGGCCCTGTGAGGAGACAGAAGGAAAGTGGGGAAGCACCACAAGACGCAGGTGAGTGATAAGAAGGCACGGAAGTCCAGCTGTCCACCACTTCACAAAGGAGAAAATGATCAACAAAGTCAAGTGCAGCAGGCAGAAGTCAGGGACTGAGAAGTGCCCACTGGCCTTGGCCAGGTCCTTGTCACCCTGACAAATGTCAGAACTGTGGTAGAACCAGAAGCCCCATCACAGCGGGCTGGGGAGCAAGAGGGAAATAAGGAAGAAGCGAGGTGGCAAAGATCACTGAGAAGTTTGGATGAGAAGGTGCAAGAGAAATGGGGAACATAGAATCAAGAAGAGCTATTTTAGGATGGGGGGAACTTGTGCATCTTTATAGGCTGACAGGAGTGAGTGAGAAGCCGGGAGAGGTTCGTGATGATGGAACAAGGTTTGAAGGAAGCAGAGGGGGAGGTGATAATAACAAGCTCTTGTCAGCATTTGCTACAAGCCAGGCCTGTGTTTAGCTCTCAGTGTGCCTTTTCTCATTTAATTCATCTTTCAACTCTCATTTTCCCATTTCACTAACGAGGCAACTGAGGCACTGAGTTTATTAAAGAATCTGCCCCAAGATCATACAGCCAAGAAATGATATAAAAGGGATTTGAACCCTGGCAGCCTAATTCCATAGGCTGGGGGTTTGAACTGGATTTTGGCCTGCATCTAAAATTAACAGGAAAGCAGTGGGGATGGTGGTAGTGGAGTCGGTAGGGAACAAGAGTTTGATGGAGTCATATGATTCCAGTGGCCTCAATTTTTTGCTCGGTGGGAGGAGACAAGGAGCGAAGCACCAGGCCTGAGGTCAGAAGGGAGCATGGGGTGAGTAATGCTGGCCCAGAACTGTACGTGGTTGATGACTGTGGGACCCGGGACTGGCACGTGAGCTGGCAGGTGGTGGCACCGAGTCGGGAGTCCGAGTGTGAGGCGAGGCCAGTCCGACAGTGGTGGCGTCTCCAGCAGCACCCAGGGGGGGGAGGAGAGGGCGCAGTGGCCTCCGCACTAGGGTGGGAGGCTTGCCAAGGGGGTGCAGCCGGAGGATGGGAGGAAGGGTGATGGGTGTCGGTGAGAGTTCATGGTTCTAGACTCAGAGGAGGTCCAGGTCCCCTTCCACAGCAATTACACCTCTGCAGGCAGGGCCCGGCTCCTCTGTGGGGTCATTGTCCCCGGTGAGGACCTCCACTTCCAACCTTGGTGTTCAAGCCGAGTCTGGAAGGGTAGGAAGTAGGACAGGCTGATAGACTGGATTTACAAAATAGAGGGAGGAAGGGGTGGGGCGGAGCAGGGAACCGAGGAGCAAATGGGGACGTGAGGGCAGCAGGGGTGCAAGGACCCCTCACCATCTTCCATGTCCTGCACTGAGGGCTTGGAGGGTTGGGGAGGGCCAATGAAGGGGAAGTTTTCCCACCTTCTCCCATTCCCACGTTCCTACACCAAAACTGAATCGTCTCAGAGCCTCCCCTGCGTTCTTAGAATAGAGACCTCTGAGGGGCTGCACTAGAGGCCCCGGGAGCTGCCCAAATGGCGTTTTCTTCCTCAAGAGCAGCACAGCCAGGAGCCCCCATCCAGGGGCCAGCAGGAGGGGCCGGCAGTATCCTCGCAGCTGAGGCACTCTTCAGGGAAAGGAATGTCCTGATGCACTAGGATAACCCCCAAAGAGGGAAAAGTGCGTTTGTGTTATTCAATCAGTGTTTATTGAGCTCTTAATATACGCCAGACACTATTCGAACAAGATAAGTGACGTTATTTTGTGTGGTATCTCCCAAAACTCTGGGATAGTAAGAGTGTCCAGTTAAAAAAAAAAAAAAAGGAGTGGGAATTTCAAGTGCAAATAAGTTAGGGAAATATTGGATTAGAGAGAGTTAAATAGGTTTCCGCACTGCGGGACTTTTCAGAGGCTCCAGTCGGTCAGTGTGCTGGGAGACTCCGGGACGCGGAGGGGGAAGAACGTGCTTCTACTCCCTGGCGCCCTCGGCCGCAGGGCTCAGGCACTCCTGGCGGACCCAGAGGCACGAAGGAAATGGTCCTTGGAACGCCAGCTGACAATTGTACCCTGGTGGCAAAGAGCTCAGTTTGGAAGTCACCACACCTGGCTTCCAACACGGGCTCTGTGTGTCACCTTAGGCAAGTGCTCGCATCCCTTCTCCGGTCTGTAAACCAGAGCTCTCAGTGTTTCCCTCACGCTGTCATCGTCTGTTGGGATTAAGTAATGCCCGTGAAGCGCCGAGGGCGCAATGCCTGCACCCGGAGGCAAAGGGCACTGGCCTGGCTCAGGCGGTCCTGGCATCCACTCCAAAATCCTGTGACACCTTATCCTGAAAAACCCTGCTTGGGGGCCACAGGTCAGAGCTTCTGCTCTCTACTGAGTTACTTAGAAGTAAGACTCATTTGGTTTTCAAAGCCTGTTACACGATCAGGCAAAGGATAGTCATGGAGTGGACATGAACGATGATGCGGGATTGCCTGAGGGAGTGGGATGGAGGGGGACAAAGGGGGAAAATCGGGACACGGTAATGGCATGATCAATAAAACATAATTAAAGTAAGAATAGTCACGGAGGGCGGAGGTGGGTGGGGGTGGGATGGGGAAAGTGGGAGAGGGCAGGGAGGAGGAGGGGAGGGACTCGCTTTCCATTCCTGCCCCCAGGAGACTTAAAGAATCTGAACTTGGTGGGCTGGAATGCCTTCTTGGAGGAGGGGTGACAGGGATGGGAATGGCCAGCCAGACACCCCTGCACCCACAGCCCCAGGATGGCGGCGGTCGGAGCAGGCGAACCGGAAACCTCGCCAAGCCGGCGCGGAGCAGCTGCAGGGCTTGGCCCTGGTCCCAGCCTGGTCCCTCCCAGAGGGCGCTTCGAGGAAAAGCTTACCAGAAAAGCTCCCAGCCAGCCTCTGCTTCTGGCTGACGTCAGTGCCTCTGGACAACATTGTCCAGAGTGACAGTGTCGGGGGGCATCTTTGTCCCCAAAGGTGGCTGGTGAAATCATGTGTCCTCTCTCAAGTGCTCTGCACCATTACTTTAGGACCTGGGAGAAGTGGGGACAGATGGTGGCGCCACAGTGGGGATGGGGTCTGCTTTAGGACCTCACCCCACTGGGGGACTAGGGGTGCTGCCCCAGCATCCTGGGCGGCCATGGGCTGCTTCCTGAGGTTCCAGACCCCACCTCTTTCCTCTGACTTTTAGAAACCAGCCCCCATAACTTTCATGACACAGGAGAGACCCAGCCACACACCTGCCAGTGTCTACCTTCACACTCATTATGTCTCCTTTCATGCTCCTGACACCTGGGGTGTGGGAGGGGCCGAGAAGATGGCCGCCGCACAAACACCTGCGAGTCACTGCTGTGAGGCTCAGAGGCCAAGCACCCTGCCCGGGTAACCAGCAGTACTGGGATCTGAACCCACCTGTGCTCACCAATAAGGATCCCTCTAATTAGGGAGAACTTCGCTATATTGGGGGAAATAAACATACGTATAAATCAGTAGAACATCTCTAATGGAAGGCCTGCTGATCCTGCTTTTTGTCTTTCTTAAGCAAAAAGAAATGCAGGGAGCTCTGTTGGCTGCCTCCGACCAGGACCTAACCGGTTTTTCCAGGAGCGTGCCCATCACACCAGACAGCAGACCGCCCCCACCCCTTTTGGCTTCTGGGCTCCCCCCAGCTCTCCCCTAGTCTCTTTTTCTAGCCAGGGTGGGGCCCCTGGGGCGTATGGCCGTGGGCCCAGGGCTGGCCTGGCTTCCTTTCTTGGCAGCTGCTAGATATCTCTGCAGTTTTTGGCCTGGTAAAAGCCTTTTCTGCCTGCCCAGGGGAGAGCTTTGATTGGCTTCCACTGGGATGAGCTCATCCTTTCCAGAACTTGGGGATGTTCCCATTTTCCACGGCCCCACCTCCATCCAAGGAGTTCCCTCTAGCCATCTCTTCTCTAAAGGCCTTCCTGCCCCAGCCGCCCGAGCCTTGGGATCCCAAAGCCCGGCCTCGGAAGGCAAGTGCGTGTCCTGAACTCTGTTCTGTCCCCACCCCAGTGCTCCCCGGGGGGGCTGTCCTGGCTGCCCCGAGCTTTGCCCATCCCCTCCTGCAGTTCTCTCTGCCCCCGTCTTCTGCCCGCTCCAGCCCCCATGGGCCTCTGCTCCATTTCCAGGACCCGCGGAAAACAGCATCATTTAAAACAATCACAATTAGTCGTGTCTGTCACTTCTTGTTTTCTTAATCTCATTTAATCTTCACCAGTAATCCCATGACATTAGAATTGTTATCCCCAGTTTACAGGTAAAAAAGGAAACACAACAACAACAGAGACCCGGAGAGTTGACATAACCTGTTGGCGACAAGTGGCTAGTGTAGCTGGAGTTGGGAATTGGACTGAGGCATGTCTGGATCCAAAGCCACAACTCGCTGATTGTCAGGTTGAGAAACACGGCTGGCTGCACCCACGTCTGTGACCATAGCTGGCTCTCTCGGAAGGATCAATAACAACTCCGTGAGCTCTGTTCCCAGATCTCTCCAGAGTCCAACCACTCCCACCCCAGTCTCCCGCCTGGGCCACCACCACAACCCACCTGGTTTTACTGAAACAATCTAAGAGGTCTCCTGCTTTTAGCAGCTGGAGTGATCTTTTGAAAGATTCCATCTGATCATGCTTCTCTTGTGCTTAGAGCCCTCTGGTGGCTCCAGTGTCACCCAGAGTCAAAGCCAAAGTCCCTATAACAGCCTAGGAAGCCCTTCGCACCCGCAGTTCCATATCCCCCATCTCTCATGATCTCTGGTTTTACTGCTTCCTGCTCTCCCCTCTGCTTCAGTTATGTGAGCCTCCGTTCTAATCCTGGAGAGCACAGCACGCTCCTGCCTCAGGGCCTTTGTACTTGCGCCTGCTGTCTGCTGTCTGAAAGGCCCTTCCCCAAGGACCTCCTAGCCACTGCAACCCTTCCTACCTGCTCCCAACTCTCTGCACCCCCTGCCCTTTTCCTCCCCACAGCACTGTCGCCAAGTGATGTCATTTGACTGATTTATTTAATAATTTTCTGCTCCCCCTGCTAGAATGTAAGCTTCATGAGCATATGGGTTTTTCTGGGGTCCCCCCTACCCCCGCTGCTGTATTTCTAGTATCTAGAACAGTACTAGGCACATACTAGATTCTCAACAAATGTTTGTGGAAGAAAGGGAGAAAGGTGTCGGTCATCTGATTTCGGGTGGTGCCAAACTCTGGGCGGGCCTGGGAAAAGCTGAAAGCTGGGGCCCATCTCCCAGGCAGAAGTGGCTTTGGCCTCTTAGTGCTTCCTCTTTGCAGCTTCAGGACAAAATGGTTTTTGTTTCTTTAAATTTTTATTGAATTTATTGGGGTGACATTGGTTAATAAAACTTTGTAGGTTTCAGGGGTACAATTCTATTGTACATCATTTGTATGTTGTGCTGTGTGTTTGCCACCCCAAGTCAAGCCTCTTTCCATCACCATTTACCCCCCTTTTCCTTCCTCTACCTCCCCCAACCCCCTTCCCTCTGGTCATCAAAATACTGTTGTCTGTGTCTATGAGGCTTTTGTTTGTTTGGTTTTTTTGCTTAATCCCTTCCCTTTTTCCCCCAGCCCCCCAGACCCCTCCCCTCTGACAGCTGTCAGTCTGTTCTCTGACTGTATGAGTCTGTTTCTATTTTGTCTGGTAGTTAATTTTGTTCATTAGATTCCACATATAAGTGATACCATGTGGTACTTGTTTTTCTCTGACTGGCTTATTTCACTTAGCATAATGCTCTCCAGGTCCATCCACGCCATCACGAAGGGTAAGGTTTCCTTCTTTTTTATGGCCAAGTAGTATTCCATTATGCAAATATACCACAGCATTTTCATCCACTACGTACTGATGGGCATTTGGGCTGTTTTCAAATATTGGCTATTGTAAATAATGATGCAGTGAACATGGAGGGGCGTATATTCTTTCAAATTAGTGGTTCAGGTTACTTCAGATATATTCCCAGAAGTGGTATTTCTGGGTCGAAACGCAGTTCCATGTTTATTATTATTATTTTTTTTAGTAAACTCCATACTTTTTTCCACAGTGGCTGCACCAATCTGCATTTCCAACAATGGTGCACCAGGGTTCCTTTTTCTCCACATCCTCACCAACACTTGTTTGTAGAGTTATTGATGCTGGCCATTCTGACAGGTGTGAGGTGATATCTCATTGTGGCTTTAATGTGCCTCTCTCTGGTACTTGGAGACACTGAGTATCTTTTTGTATGTCCATTTGGCTCTCCGTATGCAGGACCAAATGCTGATCTGAGTCACTGGAGAGGCCGGTCCCAGGGTGGGGTTCCCAGGAAGCTGACTCAGATGATGGAGTTGAGCATGCAGGAGGTTTGAGGGAGCACTCTTACGACAACACCTGAGGAAAGGAGGGGGCATCTGGGTGGGTGTGCAGAAGTCTAGCAGTGATTTAGACCCAGAGACAACCTCGGCCCACCCTGTGAGAACTCCAGATCTGAAATAGCCCCTCAGAATTGCTCCACTTCAGGTTGAAACTCCAGGCCTTTGTGCCCCAGCCTCGGCCAGTCCCTGGCTGGCAGCCTAACCTGGGGGTGTGATGAGGTGTCACTGCAGGTGAGACACTCCCCACAGCTCAAGAACAAGTTCTTTTTGCAGGGGGTCTGGGCAGTGCACCCCAGGGCCGCCCAAGTGAGACGTGGCACACTCCTGTGTGCACACTCCAGAGCTGACCGTCTCTGGGTGAGAGAACCTCTGCACACATATACAGAGGGCTGACTAGGCCTGGGTAAGCCTTGAAAGTGGCAGTGGGTTACACCTTCCTTAGTCCCTGCTCCCCACTTGGTAGATGTGTCCTACGAAAGAGAGTCGGGGGACAGAAAAAGCCAGAGAGAAGGCGGAGCAGGGTTTGGAGAAGAGCTGGCATCTGATTTTCTAGGTTTTGAATATTGACTCCATTGCTTACCAGAAGTGAGATCTTTATGTTATGGACTGAATCCTTGAAATCCCAAAAAGTTCCCCCAAGAAATATGTTGCAGTCCTAAGCCCTGGTTCCTCAGGATGTGGCCTTTTTTGGAAAAAGGGTTTTTACAGAGGTAATCACATTAACATGAGGTCATTATACTGGGCCCTAATCCAGTGTCAGCAGTGTCCTTATAGAAGGGGAGATTTGGACAGAGACACACTTAGGGAGAATGCAAGGTGAAGGTGAAGGGAGAGATGGGGTGATGCACCTACACGCCAACAAGCACCAAAGATTGTTGGCAAATACCAAGAGGTACGAGAGAGGTGTGGATGGCACAGATTCTCCCTCGGGGCCCCCAGAGCCAACGCTGTGACCCCTGGTTTCAGATTTCTCCCCTCCAGAGCTGAGGGGCAGTAAGTTGCTGTTGAGGCGCCCAGTTTGTGGCACTTAGTTACGCAGCCCTGGCAAACTAATACTGGTACATTTCTTAGGCTCGCCGATCCTCCGTTTTCTCGTCTGTAAAATGGGGATGATATTACTTATCCCCCACAGTTGTGACAATTACATGCCATCTCTGTTGTAACCCCAGGCACAGAGAGTGCCCTTTCTTGTGTCCGTGGTGGCAGTTCTTAGAGTCTGGAACAGCTGATAGCAAAGGCCCTTTCCATCCTAGACATACTTGAATTCTGACTCCACTGATGTGGCTTGATAAGTGTCTGCGCATCAGCCGCCACCCACCTCTTTCTTGCCACCGTCCCAGGTGAAGAGAGCAGGCCCAGCGTCAGCAGTCAGCATGGAGGGCTCTGTGCCCTGATGGCTGTCAGTTACAGTCACAGCAGCTGGGCCGGAAGGGCAGAAGGCTGTCTTCAGAGCCCGCAGCAGCACTCCCCCAGCCTGTGTTAACCCTGACCCTGACCCCTGCCTTGTGACTTTCTATACACAGGCGTGGAAGAAGGAGAGGAGGAAAAGATTCTGGGTCGGCCCTTCCCTACATTTAAAACAATTTTTGGTCAAAGATACAGTATCATTATCATCAGCAAACAGACACCTAAATCGCACCCCTTGTCCTCAACTAGCTGAGCTCTGTCATCTAAGGAGTGACTTTAACATCTCTGCTTGCTTCGGAGAAAATGAAGGCATGAGGCCGAGCATCGCACCACCTCTGAAGTTGAGGGTGAACGAAACGATTGTCAATTACAGGTGTGCTGTTGTTCATTTTCCCCAACCTCCTGTGCCTTGGTATGTTACAAAAGTTGTGCATGTTTTCATATGCGATACGTATACTTAAAAGTTCATCACAGGCCCTTATGTAACCAATGTGAGATTGATTTTATATATACAGTAGGGCCTGGAAAATCAATTCACTATTTTGAATAATTGTGTAGACCGACAGTTACTATGGCATTTAGTTTTGTGGTATATTCTCAGCTGTATCTATGATCCGTTTGTTCAGGAACCCCCAGAGGTAACAGTATTCCTTGTGGGAACTTTTTTACTTCCTCTTAACACCCTAGAGTTCATCTTTTTTTCCCCCTCTTCACTTCTACAGCTTGTGTTGTTAATTTTTTATTTTAACAGCTTTCACCACATCTAAAACGTTTTATTGGTGGGATTGTAAAAGTGATACATGCTCATTTTTTTTAACTTAAAAAAAAAGACAGCAGGGTAGAAAAAAGAAACTAAAATCTCCCAGAATCAAAACTTCTTGGATCATTTCCCCCTTGCGTTTTCTCTGACCCTGAGCATAAACGAGGAGGCGTGTGCGAGAGGAGCAGGTGAGGCTGCAGGTCTGCGTCTCTGGCACGGCTGGGACTTGTCCCGGCTCCTGTCGGAGGGGTGGCCCGGGCTGCCTGAGCTGATGCTGCAGCGGGGAACGAGGAAGCGTCCAGGTGAGAGTTCAGCCACCGGCAGAGAAGGTCCAGCTGACACCTCTGCCCCAGCGAGAGAGCCTTAGTTATTGGAGGGGCTGGGAGGCATCTGAATGTAACCTAGCTCAGCCTCTGAGCTTGGAGCCAGTGGAACTAGGTCTGAGTTGTATGTGTATCTGCAAGTGTCTCCATCTGTGTGTGTAAATGTGTGCACGTGTGTGCATGAGGGGACAGAAGAGGTCCTCGGCAGCTGCATCAGACATGGACAGACTGTCTCACTGAAAGCTCTGTAGACACTGGGGCTCAGGCAGCCCAGCTTTCCGACTCCCTGGTAGCGTGTGGCTCTAGAAGGAGAGGGGAGTGCTCTGTGCTGTCACCCCAGGCCCAGGACCTGCTCCATCGTCAGCCATGGGGCCCAGCAGGGGTGGGGGTCAGAGTGCAGGGGGGCAGGTCAGAGTGCGGGGGGGGGGGGCGAGCAGGACTGAGAACAACCACGGAAATCTCAGCAAGGTCTGGGCTCAGGCATAAGCCCACACGAGACCCCCACAGGAAACTTCTAGAAACAGGGAGACCTTGGAGAGGCAGATGGGAGCAAGGATGTGAAAACTCAGTGCCTGTTACTGTGCTGCGTTGCTCCATGACAGTAGCAGGACAGGGAGAACCCCGAGAGCAGAAGTCATATCGTATTTAAGTTTACCACCCACCACCTTGCTCGCTACCTGCGTATAGAAAGTGCTCTGTGCCCAAAATTGTTGCGGACAAAACACAATCTCTTTTTGATCATCTGTTTTATGACATAATTTCTAGGAATGTATTATGGTAAAAAAAAAAAAAAAAAGGAAGGAAGGAAAAAAATGGGACTCCCTAGACAGAAATAATGAAGTCAGCGATGCAGCTCACAAATGTGGCCTCAGTGAACTTCGGCACACCCTTCCCTTGAGTTTTCTGGGCACCTGTGATTCGCAACATCTGGAATCATCAGGATTAGGAAGATGCCAGGGTTCTCCATTAATACCCATGAGCTCCGACACTTCTCTTCATTGTTTAAATGGAATCGTAGGGGTAGAAGAAAACTCAGAAGCACCCAGGCTACCTCTTTGGATGGACAAAAGCCTGGGGACCTGGCCTCGTTGCGCTGGTGAGTGAGGGGATATTAACTGGGCACCGACCATATGTCTGGCACTGTGCTGGTATCTGGGGGCTCCTAGCCCTTGCCCTTGAGGAGTTTATCCCTGGTTAGAGATACCTCTGTATTACAGAGCCAAGCAGGGCAGTATGCACTCGGGAAGCTACAGGTATAGGTGAAGCAGCCAGAAGGATCTGGGGAAGACAGAGACCCTGGGGGCCGGAGGAAAGAGAGGGCTTCATGGAGAAGGTGGGGACGAGTGGGAATGGAGGACAGTATCGACCTGGTTGTTGAGAAGGGAGTCAGCTGGCTGGGGAACGATGCAGGTCTGCCCCCTGTCTAGCTGTGTGTCACCTCTCTAAGCCTTCACTTCCATAAAATTGTTCCTACCGCACGGGCATAGTGAAGAGGAAGAAACAAAGGCGCTTTGCATAGTGCCAGGCACATAATAAATGTTCAGTAAATGGCCGCCCTTGTTTTTGTTATCAGGAAGAGTGGGTAGGATTTAGACAGGCGGAGAGATGTGGGAGCCTGACTGAGCTTCCCGAGTAATTCGGTTCCACTGAGTAGGTGTGTGTTCAGCATCTGCTACGTGCATGGAATGGTGCTTGGCTCCTGGGTGATGGAGACAGGGGCCCTGCCCTCAAGGAGCTGTCGGGCGAGGGGGCTATTACAGACAGGATCTCCAACAGAGCAGGACCGTGCGGGTA